TGTTGATCAAAATATTGAATATTAACAGGAACATGAAGTTACTGATCAAAATATTGAATATTAACGGAAATATTAAGTTACTGGTCAAAATTATTGAACATTAACGGAAACATGAAGTTACTGATCAAAATATTAAATATTAACGGAAATATTAAGTTACTGGTCAAAATATTGAACATTAACGGAAACATGAAGTTATTGATCAAATTATTGAATATTAACGGAAACATGAAATTATTGATCAAAATATTGAATATTAATAGAACAACATTACTATTGGTTTAAATATTTTTTACAACAATTCTAAAACAAAAATAATATTTATATAAAAAAATATATTATTCATTCAAATATTTTTATATATTGGAAGAATTATAGGCACCGGTCGTTTTTATAAAAAAAATCATTTTTTGTTATATTTTGAGAACAAATACGCGTACCATACCGGTACCCGTGCGAATGCACGGGTATTCCACTAGTTAATCGTTGAAGTCAATCTATAATATAAGTGGTTATAAGAAGAAAAAAAAGGAGGTTATAATTAGAAGCCACATTTGTAACAAATTTTAATGGAAAAGACTTTGGGTTTGAAATGATTTATTTGACATGAGTTGCTGCAAAGATGCAAATTTATTAAGTGAACCTGGTGTAGTGTAATGATAAGGATTAAAACATAACAAAAAAATGGCCATTCAACCTCTTGGTAGTGTAACAATCTGAAAACTTTAAAGGGACAAAGTTGAGAGACAATTGAATTGTGGCAGTTGTTATAAAATTATAAAATGACATAGCAAGTTTGATATTTTTAGCCAAACATGGCTATATTATAGAGTTAGAAACTTGTGGACGACCATTACAAAATGATAAATAGAGATATGGCACATACGTCATTTTTGTAGTTTGAAGTGCTGATTGTCATTAAAGCCAATTCGAAAATAAGTTGCAAAATAATATACATTATAACGCCGGAGGTAAACAAAAAACATGCCATTTTTCTTCCAAATTACTTCTCCAATTTAATGAGTTTTTCACTTTGGTAGAGGATTATTCACCGTTATATAAGTCAGTTGTTTGAGAAAGGTCATCACACAAAGGAGTTATTATCCTTTTGGAAGCAGAGGTGGGTGTAAGTGGTTCAGAGGAATCTTTGAAAGTCATTTCGTGATCCTGAAAATGAATGCAAAACTGAAGTTAAAAAAATAGTGTATTGTATAAAAATTATGAACAATAGACAACCATGATGTTAGAAAAAATAGGATATAATTGTGACCTGAATAACATCTCACTCTTCAATTGCCAATGCCTCATCAACACTTTCTATCTAAAGAGTAAAAAAGTGAAAATTAAACAATAAAACAATAACGACACATAAGGAAATTTGTTAAGTGAGAAAAAAACTAACCTGTGAAGGTTTTGTTATGGAAACAGGTTGAGATGTAGTATTCTGAAAAAAGTTTGAGTTATGTGAAACAACAACTTAAATGCTATGAAAAAAAGTAAAATTAAACGGTAACTATACCAAATCTTGTCCCAATTAGGTGAGCATCTGTTTAAAGACAATTTGATTACGAAAGATAGAGACAACTGTTGTATCATCGCAAGATGGTTGCCATTTGACTTTAAAAGCTAGTTTCATCCCAACAATAGAATCAAGTACCAATGGATATTCAAGAGGATCGATGATTCCAACCTAATTAACAATGTTCAGATGAAATAGTGAAAATGTAGATAGAATGAATATGTTTATGTCATGTTTAAGTTGTTTCCAAACATATAAAATGACCTCAAGCATTGTGGTGCGCATCTGGGCAGCAATGACTTTCAACAGTTGTGTACACTCCTGATCCCATAAAACATAAGTAGCGCGACATCCATCATTTACAACATCAATCCGAATTTTATACCTATGGAAGTTAATGTAAAAGTAAAAATTTAATTTTGTGTGGAAAGAAAGTAGTTCTCAGAAATTGAGAAAGAAAAAATAACTTGTAAATTCCAGTCTCAGTTTTGTGATCAACACTACAAATATAAGGTGATTTATCTCCTTTAGCATGCCTTGGACACTCATGGCAGGCTTGGTAATACCAACCTCCCGGAGCAACAATAATTTTGCTAATTTCAGCAACGGTCACACATTGAGTTGTCTGGAACACAATATCACATGAAACAAATGACTGTTATAGGTTGATAAAGAGACACATATTTAAGTAGAATAATTACAAAGGGTCTTACATATTTAAATTGGATAATTTTACTGAGAGGAATTAGTACAATCTTGTACATAAATTTGTCATACGGGCTTATTTGACAACTACCAGAAGCCTGAGTTTCTTGTGAAAGTGTGGTAATACTTTGACTTGTTGTATCATGCAAATGATGTGTTTGAAAGCTATGTAAATGTTTCGAAAAAGAGTTGAAAATGTTATTGTCAATTAATGCAAAAAATATTGAAGGAAGCATGTACATAAGAGAAGAAACTGAAACATGGTCAAAAAGTTTTTAATCTGGGGTAGATCATCATTGATGTGCAATATTATGACATTGAATGTGTTAGAAACAGATAATGAATATTTACGTGTAAGAATGTGAAAATAATAAAGATTTAGCAGAAGAAACAAAAATGTGAATAAATGGAAAAAGTTTTAAAAGAGCTAGGTTGTTTTACCTTCCTCTTTGACCATTGCATACTGCATAGCAATAACAGTTGGTTTTGACTAAAAATCAGCTTTCTTCCTTTGTTTATTATAATCATGGAACTGCATGGCATAAGTCTCCCACATAGTACAATTGACAGTGTTGTTAGTGCATAAATAATAGAAAATTTTACATTACGCATTGATTAAAAAAATTCAATGGTTAACAGAAAAGTGAAGTGAGCATACCTTAAATCTTTCAATACTAAGTTGATCTGCTGTTTTTTGTTCCCACTTTAAGTTTGGGTGTAACCAATGTCTGACACCATTCTGATCACATCTAAATAAACCAGGAAAGATAAAATAATTTAACCGTTGCACATAACGTAAGTATACATGGAACTAATGTTCAACAAAATTAGATAAAGTTATGCATACCTATCAACACATCCCTTTTCCATTTTCCAGTTATAATATTAATAAATGGAGTGAAATTGAGTGGTTTTGGTGGTATCTCATGTTTATTTTCATCACCAACACTTGTACCACCACTAAAAGTCAACATATATTTGTGTTCGGACGACTTGAACAAAAGGTCATTCAAAGAAACTTGAAAGTTGGCTATGGTATAAGTCTTATCCACAGTTAAGATAGAATCATATGCTTGCTTCAAAGCAGTCGAAACTTTGCAGTGAGTATCAGAATCCTGGAAATACAATACATGTCTATCAGCTACATTAACATATATCGTTAAAGTTATCAGAAGTAATGGAAAATTTGTAACATTCAAAAAATGTGTATCAGAACAATAACATCTATAATATAAAAAGAATTTTTTTCATAAAATCATACATGCATCTAAAAAGCAAAGATAAATCATAATAGTGAAAATCTTTTGTAAGACCCAACATAAGTCCTATACTTAACAACATAACAAACCAGGATACTCATACATAAAATAAATGGACCACTATTCATGTAAACCCTAAAAACCAGTATGTCATTGCATAAAATAAATGGAACCCAGGTAATGCTCACTTCTTTATCAATCAGAATCATTTCAAAGTGTTCATTATTCCTTGAAACAACACTCCATTTGTGATAATCACGAACATCTATTTTCCAAAGCTCGTTGCTTTCATTGATGTTTTTGACATTTTCATAAAGTCTTGCCATTTTGAAGCTGAACCACACCGCAAATGCGTTGAAAGAGTATGAAGATCGTCGAAAAATCAAGACCTCACGGTGGAAGATGATGGAACACGTAGATTTTGTTGAAGAGAGAGTAATGTGAAGATAGAGGAGGGTTGAGATGATAGAGAAGAGACACTAGCGCGTGAGAAGGATGAGAGAAGAAAAATGAGTTTGTTCAGAAAAAGTGATTGTTGGGGAGGAGTGTTCATTGTTCGCCCACATAGGGTTAGAAGTACTATATTTGAACCAATTAGTTGTACTTGAAGGAGCAATATCCAACTGGTTTCAATTTTATACATAATTCATAATAAGTATGTTTGTCATAGAATCAAAAATATAATTTAGTTGCAAAAAGTAATTTTTGAATATAAAATACCCCTGAATTGATGAGGTGGAGAACAAAGAAGAGGTTAAAATTGTGTTTGTCGGAACACTTAATTTTCTTATATAGATTTATATAAAAAAAAAATACATGAGTGGAATTAGCATTTGATTTATAAAAAATAATTAAAAAGTATAAAAAAATAATTATAAAAAAATAATTATAAAAAAATAAATGTAAAGACAAAAAATTAAAATATATAATTCTACATAGATTTTTTAAAATAAAAAATAAAAGTAAAATAAATATCACATAGATTGCCATGCTAGAAAAATAAAGAAATTTGGAGTGACATCGTGTGTCTAGAGAGACCTAACTAACAGAATCTAAGTATTACAATGAAATTTAAAAAAAAAAAGTTTTACAAAAACTAAAGCGGATCGCTAACATTATAGGGATGTTAGTGTATTTGATCCTTAATTTTTTTTTTTTGACGAGGTTGATTTTTTATTTTATTTTCCATATATCCTCTTACATTCAACCTTAGTTTACGTAGGGGTAAAAAAGTTGGGGTACTTTGAATTTGTAGGTGGTGGGAGGAGTAATTTTTCTTTTCTATATTTTTTACCACAACAATCCTTAGTTTAGTTTAGACGAAGCAAAGCAGCAATCTTCATATGCAACCTATGAAAAGAGAAAAACAAAAACAAAAAACAAAAACTAAATCATGTTTCCTTAATTGTGGTTGTACTTGTTCCTCCTCCTGCTTGTTTCGAAATTTATCTTCATGAAATTGAATAACCACTTTCCAAAACCCTAATCAAGATTAGAATTTCATCATCAACAACAACATGGCTGATTCGAACCCCATTCACGATGACCCATCAACGATTCCATCGCTCTCAACCGATGACCCTAATGGTATTGCCTCCTAAATCTTGAATTTCATATTGTCTTGTTCAATGCATATATTTGAATTCGATTTTCGTGTCAGTGTAGGTGTCGTGTTCGGGGTGTTTTTGCTTCATAGGTTACGGTTGTCCTGAGCTTTTTTTGTCATTGGTTATATCATAGAATATATATTCAATACTTCAGGTTTGAATTTTGGTGCCATGATTTGTTGTGATATGTCATAGTTGTTGTTTTAGATGCAGGAAATGATGTGAAGTTGAGTTCTAAGGACCAGAGAGATGCTCTGCCAGGTGAGCCCAAGTGTACTGTTTGTGGCCGGTATGGCGAGTATATATGCGATGAAACTGATGACGATGTTTGCAGTTTGGAATGTAAACAGTCGGTACTATGTCGATTTTCGAAATCGTCTCCACGTGTTGGAGATCTTCCACCTCCTAAAAAGCTACCTGCAGCTGATGAGTGTTTTTATGTTCGAGATACTGATTACGAATCTGGTATGTTGTCTTCAAGAGGTGACCAGATTCAGGCTGAATTGCTTCGAAAGAAACTTGACATTCACGTGAAGGGTTTTGTGTCAGCACCTGTTTTATCGTTTGCTTCGTGTAACCTCCCTGACAAACTACTGCATAACATCGAAGGAGCTGGATATGAGATGCCTACGCCTGTCCAAATGCAAGCAATCCCTGCTGCTTCGATGGGGAAGAACATGCTTGTTTTGGCCGATACAGGATCTGGAAAGTCCGCTTCCTTTCTTATTCCAATAATTTCCCGTTGTGCGATTCATCGTTTGACTTATGTTTCGGATAAGAAAAAGCCTTTAGCTATGGTGTTAACACCTACAAGAGAGCTTAGTATACAGGTTGAAGAGCATGCGAAATTGCTCGGAAAAGGATTGCCGTTTAAAACCGCACTTGTGGTTGGTGGTGATGCAATGGCTAGACAAATCTATCGCATTCAACAAGGAGTCGAGTTGATTGTAGGAACACCGGGAAGGCTCGTTGATCTTTTAACAAAGCATGAGATTGAATTAGACGGAGTAATGACTTTTGTTGTCGATGAGGTGGATTGCATGCTTCAAAGTGGTTTTCGAGATCAGGTCTTACAAATATTTACGGCTTTGTCGCAACCTCAGGTCTTAATGTATTCGGCAACAATGTCTGATTCTTTAGAGAAGATGGCGAACTCTCTTGCAAAAGATACAGTGATTATAACCGTCGGTGAACCTAACAGACCAAATAAGGCCGTGAAGCAACTAGCTATTTGGGTCGAGTCGAAACAAAAGAAGCAGAAACTGTTTGACATTTTAACAAGCCAGAAACATTTTAAGCCACCTGTTGTAATATACGTCGGCTCGAGACTCGGGGCAGATCTACTTGCAAATGCAATTACAGTTTCAACAGGAATGAAAGCTGTTTCGATTCACGGCGAGAAGTCAATGACTGAAAGGCGAGAAATAATGCAATCATTTATGGTCGGCGAGTTCCCGGTGGTTGTGGCTACCGGGGTTTTGGGTAGGGGGGTCGATCTATTGGGTGTAAGACAAGTAATTGTATTTGACATGCCGAATTCCATTAAGGAGTATGTGCATCAAATAGGAAGGGCTTCTAGAATGGGAGAGGAAGGTGAAGCCATAGTTTTTATAAATGATGAGAATAAGAATGTTTTTGCAGAGTTAGTCGATGTATTAAAGTCGGGTGCGGCGGCTATACCTAGGGAGCTTATCAATTCACAATATGCCACTGGATTTTTCTCAGGGGGCAAGGGTTCAAAGAAGAGAAAGCATAGATGATGAAGAAAAGTGCTAGATTCTACTGTCTCTGCTGTATCAGAAAATTGTTGCTGTAAAATTACATCTCTGCTCTTATTTTCAAAAGAGAGCTGATATTTTGACACAAAAAACGACATTGTTGTCGGGGGCACCGTATACAAACATGATTTCTTTTACAATAGGAGGAAAAAATAGTTTGAAAAACTGTATTTATACAATGTTGGAATTTTTTTCTGCAGTTCCAAAGCACTGGTTTTTCTTGTTAAAAGTAATTTTGGTATTTGAATTTGAATATATCTAACTTTAACTCTAGTATTTGAATTTAACTAAAGGGTCTTGATAACGAAGTGTCCCATGACACTCTTTAAGCATTTCAAATAAAGAAAATGTTTTATAGAAAAATTAACAATTTCAATTTTCAAAGTATTAAATACCTACTTTTTAATAAAAACTTACTATTTTAAAGTTTTAAAAAGTGTTCATGAAGCGTGGGTTCGAACCAGCTTCTTGCACTTCGATTTGAGCTTGTTGACTTGACCGTTGTGAAATTTGAATATTAGTCAATTTAGTTCATTTAGACAAACCACAATGAGGTGTGTTGGAATTAATAGCAATTATGAAATTGATTCCGAAATAATATTTATGCACCAAAGAAATAACATTGTTATTAATCTTATTTTAAATGTAAATTTTGTATTTATTTTTAGAAGTATATATAAACTACTGATCACCTAAGTACAAATCATTCGAGCATTTTATAAATCTCTTAATCCTAATCAAAGTTTCTTAATATGAGATTATGTGATAGTTCATTTCTCTCTTAAGAGTTTCTATTTTGGGTCCAATAGAATTCTTGAATCTTTCTTGGTTTGTTAAAAAAAAATCTAAACAACACTTCTTGAGTCCAAAAGTCATTGTTTCATTCATTTTTTAGTCTCCATCTCTAGTTGTTGCTTGTTGATCCACTCAATTTTTTAAAAAGAAATATGAATCGTCCTCAACGTGCATATTGCAAGAGAATGAATCATACTTAAAAGACATATTCATAATTTTTCAGAAAAATCATCTCATATATCGATTGCCATTGGTGTTCATGCTTATGCGTCTTTCATATCTCAATCTTGTAATAATTAAAATCTTTGGATAACTAATTCATGTGCCTCTAATCTTATTGGTGACAATCATTACTTATTTTCTTCCACATTCTCTCCAAATTTCCTCACTTCATATCAGATGGTTCTAAAGTCTTTGCAAAAGGAATCAGTCATATTTCTGTCACTCTTTTTATAGCTTTGAAATATGTTTTGTTTATATTTTATTTCCCTTTTAATTTGATCTCTTGTAGACAACTTACCTAGTCTATAAATTGCTCATTAACCTTTGGTGTTTGTTCCTTTACTATACATGAACATGGTACATGTTGGATGATTGGTGCATGACATGAATTACATGGTCTTTATTACCTCCAATCAATTCTTCTTAAGTTGTATTGTGATTGATTCTTCATACCTTCTTCATTAACCATTGGGACATCCAAGTTTGTCAAAATTAAAATAAATGGTTCTGAATCATGCAAAATTTTCATCATTAAATTATGAATCGTGTCAACTAGGCAAGCATGTTTGCTCTTCCTTTTCAAGAAAAGTTGAAAATCGAGTTGATTCTTCCTTTTATGTTATCCATTCAGATATATGGGGATAAAGTCGTGTGTCTTCTAATGGTTTCCAATATTTTATTACTTTTATTGATGAACTCTCTCGATGCACTTGAGTTTTCATAATAAAAGTAATATGAACTTTTGTCCATTCTCACTACTTTTATCAATGAGGTTGAAACCCAATTCGATAAGAAAATCAAAATTCTTAGAAGTTATAACATGATATTTGTGATACGGTGGGAGAACTGACTTATGAATTTTGCGTTCGTATTCGCAAAATGTGCGGTTGAGCAAGAGTCGCCACCGACTTTTTATTTTATCCTAAGGAAAGGTTAAAAAGCACAGCAAAAAACCTTTTGAGATGTTTTCTTGGGTTCGGGGAGTAGATTATAGAAAGGGAAGGTATTAGCACCCTTTCTATCCATGGTTATCCATGGGCTCTTAGTTACTTGCTTAGATCACTTGCCTTTTCAATTGTTTGAAATGGTGCTTTGTGTGTGTGTGGGTTTGAAAATGTTTTGAAAAGAGGCCAATGTGGTGGCAACCTTTGTAATGATCCATGTTGGGATGTATACAAAGGTGTATGTCTTTTGAAAAGGTTTTCATTTGTTTTTTGAAAGTTGTTTTGAAAGTGTAGTGATGTGTGATTTTGAAATTAGGCAAGCGTTTTTATTTTGCAATTTTGACAAGTACTTAAGAGCGATCTACCCTAAATTCCTCAAAAGATTATTGCTATGTTTTAACCCTTTTAACAAGTTTGTTCCACCATTGTATTTGGTGGACAATCTTGTGTTAGGATGTGAGAGGGACAGGCGCGGATCGTCGTTTAGACCATAATTGCAATGGTGCCAAGTATCTTTGGGCATTTTCTTTAAGGGACTTGATCATTTTTTAGGCGACTTTCGAAAGCGTCATCGAGGGACTATGATCATCTGAATTGTGTTTGTTTTGCCCAAAGAGACCTAACATGCAATATGACCCAATTTTGAAAGGCAACTAGTGGATATAACCCTAGGGGTGTTAGTGTGCAAGTGTGTTTTATTGCATACAAGAGTTTTTCTTTGAATTAGGTTTTTCTATTTCATTGATTTTATCTTGTCATACACGTCCTAATTACTAGCAATAAGAAGCGGAAATGTAAAATCCTACGCTATTACAATAATTAGGGGAGGGGGATACACATTTGTACATGGGGGGTTCAACGAGAAAAATAGACAAAAAAGAAAATAGCAAAAAACAAGATATATAGAGAGAGAGAGGGAGCCCGCGCGCTGTTGGGAGGCCATCAGAAGTTCTGACCCAGATCCGCTGTCAGATGATCAACCTGTTGGTGAAACTGGATGAGTCAGAACTTCTGACTCTAGAACCTGCAACACAGAACCTTGTTAGTGGGGAAACCAGAAGTTCTGATTTCCCTGCGCTGCAAGACAGAAGTTTGTTAGTGGAGAACCCAGGAGTTCTGATTCTGCTGAAAAGGCAATAACTCTAAGAGGTTCTGATGTTATTGACAGCAAAACAGGCTTCAGATTTGCTAACGTCAAAGTCAGCATTTGGCTTTTTCCTGTACTAATCAGAACATCTGCAATCCTGTTGTTACTCCACAAAACAGGAAACATATTTGGAACAGATCCAGCAAAATAACAAAAATGTTTCAGAGGTCAGAATCACCAAGGTCACAGGCAAGTCCTATACTGGCTCAGAACGTTCTGAGATATGAGAGTCCTCAGAACATAAACAACAATAACATGAATATTTACATTATGTTACTTGAATATGCACAGCTGATGATGCTTAACAGTGTGGTGAGGGTCAGCAGGTGCTTACCTGACTGTTTGGAAAGTGGTGGGTGAAAGTTAGCTTTTGGTTCTGGTGGTGTTCTGGACAGATTTGGAGAAGGGGAAGTGAAGGTGTATACATGTATAGGGTCAGAAGTTTGGAAAGAACGTTTTTGGTTTACAGAAAAGAGCTGGATGTTTGATGAAGTTGAAGGTGAGAAACTTAAAGTTATGAAACAAAGCTGGAGATTTTGGCAGAGTTTCAGAGTGCTACGTTGCTAGGAGTTTCGTTTCTCTCTTAGCAATTTTTCTGTTTCTCTTCTTGAACGTCTTTTGCAGTGGTGAAAGCTCTCTATTTATAGGCAAAGTTCTTGTGGATGCCTTGAACATTTAAGGCGCCAACAGAGTTTGAATTTGTTCTTTGACAGAAATTCCTGGGAAGTTGTGATAACAGCTATCTTTCAGCCTAGGTAGCAGCAGCAGGCGTAGATTGGGGAGAAGTGACCTCTGAAGTGGGCGGTGGCGTGAAGACCCATGCCAGAATCTGTGCAAAAGCATTTTCCAAGCCACACGTGAATGCTCAGGAGTGGTTGGAAGCATTAATGAGCATTAAATGGTGACAAGACCTGTCAATACCAACATTCTGGTTGTTGAATCAGCAGCGTAAACCATGCTCTGGCCTTGGCTACCTGTTGTCTGGAGATTCTCCTGGTTTTCTGGTACGTTCCTTGGATCTACTTCTGGACAATCTGGGCTTAGAGATTCTGTATCAATGTGACACCTATCCCTCTGACCTTTCATCTTCTGATTTCAACCTGTTCTGAAGGAGCCTTCATACTTTCATGTTTCTCTTGCATTCCTTTAGCAAATTCTGACTGAGCTTGTGTAACTGCTGAAGGGGCATGTTCTGTTTGAGGCTTACATTCTGAACCACGTTTACAACTTCTGATTGAACTGATGTAGCTGCTGAAGAGCCAACTTCTGACCACACTGAGCCAAGCTTGCAACTTCTGACCGTCTTCATCTGGAATGGGTCCAGAAGTTCTGAAGCGCTGATTTTTTTTAAAAACACTTATTTTAAAGAAACATTCTAAGTATTTAGAATTTGATTTTTCTCAAGATGAAAGCGTTGTTTCTGGAGTTTGTGAGATCATCTTGCTCTTGTAAGTGACTTGCTTGGGCAAAAGGATAACTCAGGACTTGGATTTGTTTCAGGGGACTTTGAAAAATCTAAGGTAGTTTCCTGAAGAAAGGGAGGGCGAATTTTGGGGTACAACAGTTGCCCCTGTTCAATCTTCTTGAACCTGAAGAGTTAGATTGGCGAGTTTGCCTTTCGCGACTCGAGGGTAAAAGGAGATTGGACACTAGAGTTCCCGGAAATTTGCACTCGCTTAGTAGAGTATCAGCGATGTGATGGCGGGAATGGGCTTACAGATGCCATTTGGAAGTGCGGTAGATAGGGGGATGGGCTTACAGATGCCATCTGGAGATGTGACAGAACTTTGTCGGGAATGGGCTTATAGATGCCATTTGGAAGTGTCAATCGCGTAAGAGATTCCTTAGCGAGAAACTTGTATATTTGAGAAAGA